GGTGTTAAAAAGGTCTGTTTTTCTGAGACATGAATGTGCAAGGTCAGCCTCTAGAACTGTGCATTGTATAATTTATCAAGGGATCCTAGGAGTGAGTTTCAACTAACTGGAAAATCTTTATCAGGCACCTCTCAATCCCCGTAGGTGTCAGATAACCAGTGTTCTATTGTATAGATACAGATATGCCATATGAAGGAGCTGCTGCATACCGGTACTGATCTAAAAGTACGGCTTAACTGACCATCAAATAAGAGGCAGAAATATATAACTGATTACTTCAATTATGTTGATATGGAGGAAGAAAGTGATGTCACACACTTACCAACAAGAACATGGCAATGACCACAACTCATGTCCTGGAGGAATTTGTTAGTGATGTCACACCTGGTAACCTTGATAATAGCCATGAATGTTCCACAAGTGCTGTGTGTTTTATAGGCCCCACACAACACGAGATTGATAATGATAGTACAGTATAGATAGATCCTCAGAGAGTAATGTTTTACATCCTAGCACCGCTCATTATGAAACCCATCTGCCACCATCCTGCCACACCATCACCCAAAGCACCAACCACTTTCAGTTACCCATAAGTAAAATACATACTGTATACAGTTGTACCACGAAAACTGCTGCATCGCATAACAGATGATTACATACAGTACAGTGAAGGGGAAATACCCAGCAAGTTTCCCTGACACCCCGGAGATCCAACAAACGGGAGAGGAGCGACAAAGCTGTTTTAAATTTGGCAGGCGGTGGCATGGTGCGAATTCTTGCCACTGCCTTTGACTCATTCCCATGTCTCTGCTCTTATTTGCACTTACTATGTGTCTCTGACTTCAGTTTTTTTCATTATTTCTGACTTAGTGTGATACTCAATCATGCCTAAATGTCCCAGTAACAGTTCCTCTTGTGCTGGGCAGCTTAATGTGATGTGATAAGGCAAAATAAGAGTGGTGATGGACCAGCAAAGAGTGGTAGACTTGAACTTGCCACCCTAGACTGTCTCTACCATCCTCAACACAGATAAATCAGTCTCAATTTATGCTTTACATTCCTTATTGAAGGCTTATTATGCTTGCTTTATATGTCTGCTTATTTTCTTGCTTGACAGTGTGCAGTACAGAAATATATCACTGGTAGATGGGAGTTTTTGGGGGGTGGCCAGACCCTAGCCCCCTGAATTTGTTGTGTTCTTATGGGACTAATTGCTTCGATAACCATTGATTCACTAACCAACGACTTTTCCCAGTCCCTATATGCATCGGTTATCGGGGTACACCTGTACTGTATTCTAATATGGAGTAAATGTAAATAACTTGATACATACTGTATTGCACTGTTTTATTAACATTATTATGATTAATACATACACTTAGAACTACAGTTTTGTTCCCACATAAAATTTTTTAGAAATGTGTATTTTTACATTTGAGTAATTTTTTTTGTAGCAACATATCTACTTCTGTATAATGGGAGTCAATGGGAAAAATGACTTCAATTTACACCAAAAAATTTATATACGAAAGTTTCTTCACTAATGTATCTCTTTCGTAAATTGAAGCTTTCCTGTACTATACAGTACTGAATCCTTGTACTTTATAGCAGACCTACGTAAGCTACTGTACTGTATACTGTACCTGTATAGTCTAAGCCAAGTCCCAGGTTGCTGATCTGACTTTCTACCTCATTTACACACAATTCCAGAGTTTCAATTGTTTCTCTTACAATTGACAACACAACATTCATACTGTCATTTCAGATTTATTTTTTCATTTGTTTATTTATTTTATTATTATTATAATTTGTATTTGTTTCATTAATTATTATTAATATTAAAATGATTTGTTTTATTAATTATTATTATTATTATTATTATTATTATATTTTCGCCCTCCAGGCCCTGATGTGGGTCAGTGATCTGTGCCCGGATGGGCTAATCCCCGTAAAAAATAAATAAATAAATAAGTAAATAAAATCACATCTGTAACTGTAGTAACTTCCAGGAGCTACATCCATCTGTACATTATTATATTAAATCTCTTTACAGTACTATACTATTGTACAGTAGTACCCCGATTTATGCGGTCAATTGAACCCATGGGGTACCGGGGAAAGTGAAAACCGCGTAAAGTGAACAACAGAACATATGGGATTAATTCCAATAGAGACTGGCCCGACCCCCAAACTCCAATTTTTCAGACACAATATCTACGTTGTAGTAAAAATAACATCTTAATTTTATGATGGTATGCACACACAATTAATAATTAAGAGAAATATCAATAATATTAGGTCTTTAACACTTACATTAGTAGAAAAGATGGCTGGGCACACGGGGATGGGGGGTTGGTTCCGAGGCAGAGGGCAGATTATTGGCCCTCACCTGTATCACTTGTATCACTATCCACCACATAGGCTTGCAGGGCCTCTTTGTCAAACCCCTCAAAGTCTATATCCTCACTATCACTAACTTGGGCAGGCTGTGGTGGGTGGCGGGTGAAGAACTTGGTAATGTTTAGATGACTGGGCGACCTTGTGCGCATCCTGCCCGCGCCACTTAACGCGTATATGAGTAGATGCCCCGCGTAGAGTGAAAGTCCGGTTCTGGCGAGGTACCGCGTAAATGCGAAATCGTGGAAAGTGAAACCGCGTAAAGCGGGGTAATACTGTATTTACATAAACAGATTCTTTCTTTTTTCTATAATTATTTTTTACCTGACCTTATAACTAGTGAGCTCATTGTGAAAGTTATAAGGTAACTTAAATTGTAAAAAAAAAAAAAAAATTATATATACAGTATATATATATACACCTAAACCCCGACTTACGACTCACGTGGACTTACGACCGTCGGGACTTACGACCGCCTCAGATATAGATAAAAAAAAAAAAAAAAAAAAAAAATTTAAATGACACGCATTTTCTATACCGAAACGTTTCCAGTTAATGTAGTCTCCATGTATAATTAGAAAATTATGGGGGCCCCATGTGCATTCAGCTGACTACATTAAAGGTTAAGTGCTCAGTCACACTGTATCCATTCCTTATTATTTATTACTTTCACTGTACTGTATCCATTCATCATTATTCATTACTTTTACTGTACTGTATTTCATTGTAGATTTTTTATTAAAAAAAAAAATCTATGTTACGACTATGTCGGACTTACGACCTGGATTTGGGTCCCTAACCCCGTCGTAAGTCGGGGTCTAGGTGTATATGTATATATATATATATATATATATATATATATATATATATATATATATATATATATATATATATATATATATATATATATATATATATATATATATATATACAGTATACCATCCATGAAAAATATAGCCATGCAGGAATTACTACCCATAACCAACATAAAAAAAAAGTACTGTTCTGTAAACCACTTGCTCGTGTTAATTCCAGAAGCAACACATGATAATTTAGACAACACATATTTACAATAGCCCAGAGAAGATGTGGAGAATATGTGTGAGGAAATTTGTGGGGTTTAAAACTAGGTTCTTCCTAGTGATCATTTGAAACATTGGCTTGTGTGAAGCACCCTTCACACCTTGGTTGAAGCTTGCTTCATATACCTTAGTTTGGATGGGTGAGTGGTTATTTATAAAGCAATTACAGTACTCCGACCCCAAATAAGCAGTCACGCCTACTGGACACACTTTCAAACTAATCCAATATGACTGAGTCCTTACTTACAATATGTAGACAGCTCCTAAAAAAGACCGTCTCTGTCAAAGGTGTTCACATGCTTGTATCTCAAAAATCACTTGACAAATCACTAAAAAAGACAGACAGACATAAGCATAACACTTGGAAAACATAAATCAAAGGTCTGAGTTTATGGTGTAATAAACCTGTTCTAGTTGTCAGCGACCTACCTACCTTTCTTGTACATTAAGCTGCTGTTCCTGAAGCTGTCATCAATTTCTCCCCACTCTCTTCCTCCACTCTAGTGTAGTTACACCCCGGCTACTGTTTTTCCTATCAGCTACTGATTAATGATGAAAAGATATCAACCCCTGCTTGAGGAATCACAATAAAATATGGTAACTTCTTTCTTTGACCTGTCATGTGGGCTATGAAGCCAGAGTCAAATCTACATGTGATCCTCACCTGATGAGAAAGATGTTTGGCAGCTATAGTCTGGGAGGGTACTGCTGTAGCAGTCACTGTGTAACCGGACGCAGGGCCGGTGTAACCACTGCCGGTCTGGTCCAACTTTCGCTTCCTCTGCAGGCACTGTCCAGAAGTGGCAGGGGCATGCAAGACTGCACTGGGCTCACCTCCCGCCGGAGAGATGAACATGTCATGCATTCCCTGCAACACACCAACAAACACACACACGTTACTGGTTAGGCCACAACACCACACACCAGGCTGGGAGTGTGTATTGTATCCCTGCACCTTCTACACAGGAAAGATCTGGACACACTGAGAAGGAAACAAGTTGTAAGCCGGTGGTGATAATAGTGAGAGGTAAGGCAGCACTTGTTGCACAGCATTTATATAAAATAGTTAGGAAAATACAGATCACACAACAGAAGGATAATTAGAACAGTCACGTATTAAGTGTACAAAAAAGTGGGTAAGGACTACTGCCTCTCTCAAGACACAAAAACCACACCTAAGATACATACATCTGTTAGAAACACTGGTGCAGCCTACCTGGTGTTGATCTGCATTGTTTAAAAATCTGCAGCAATCATTGCTAAAATTTGAGTACTCAGAAGCTTTCTTCAACAAATTTAACTTGTTAACTACTGTATATTGTTATATAATTACCTAAATGTAAGCTTTCATAATTGTCTTATCATCATTCAAATATGACAGTCATGTACAGTAATTCCTTCTGCAGGGTTGCTTTATATCTTTCAGTTATATTCTTAAAAAAAAAAGGAATTTTAATATATAATGTACAGATTCTTCAATTTGGTCAAAATTTAACAAGAGCAGTCAGCATACTGCATCAT